ATCAGATCAAACAGTCCAGAAGAATTGAAAAGTTCTATTGCCAATCTGGATGTTTGGTGCCAAATCAACAACGTGCACGCTACGATATGCCTAACCTAGACGTACACACAGGACTATGCGAAGCGAATCATCACTGCAGGGATTCGGACTAGTACGGATTTGTGGGTTAACATTTGCCTGCTTTGCATTAAGGGGTTTTTGGATAACCAACTGTGCGACTCATCAGTGTGCAGTCGAGCAACCCTTCAAACTGAATGCATCACCACCTTATTTATCTAAAATAACAAACTTCGTAGTAATATTATAGAGATGTCTTATGAGTTATAGTTGGCATGCTTATAACCTGTTACCCCAGTTAATCATATGGAAAGCACTCAATTCGTGAGCTACTGAACATTCGTTTAGTTGGCATCACTTTACAGTACATGACCTCTAGTAATGGTGTATAATTTACGTTTATTTGGAAATTCTTTTATGAATAGACTGACTTATAAGTTGTTTTGACTGATGCGTTTGTTTTCCAAATGGAGGTGGTGTGAGAAACAAAACATATCTGTTGAAAAAGCTCACTTTTGTCTCTTTTCAGAATCCTGTTTTCAGTGGAACATCCTTGGCGCCTCCAGGCGAAAAGCGCTTTCTTGGCACGCACTTCTAGGTCAAAACTTGTTTCAAGCGCTTTAGAATCGACACTTCCAAACAAGTTCACTTCAGATCGATGCAGACCACCCAAAAACCCTACTCTGCACCTTCTGAATTTGTACTCACTTATTGAAAATGTGGCTGTCAAAATGTTCCTGTGAGTGAAACGGTGCAAACTTACACTTAAAAAGCTAGGGTGTGATCAGCATGCAGACCCATTACTCCTAGCCACTTTGACCATGGTGTGACTATACTTTGTTTGCTTCCTGGCTACAAACTGGTTTCTCCATAAATAATACCAATTTTTTTTCAAAAATTACTTTGATATTCTTTTAGTCATTTTTCTGAACTGATTTTTGTTTTTTATGTATGGTGTTAGTTTATATTTTGGAAATAGGTGAGTTCTTTCCAAAAAGCACACTTATTTTGCTGATGACAATGCAAAGAATTTTTGCTTGAAAAACAAGTGACTAAGGTAAACATTCAGCTGTTGTCATTTAATCTTACATCGACTGACACTACATTTAAAACTTCATGGGACATCAATAACAGTTATATCGCAGTATTTACTGTGCACTTTTGTCAGACCTAGTATCTCCTCGTGAACGTCCAGAGTACAATGTCAAAGCTCTTAACTTCGTATCAAGTAAGTGTAGAATCCTTTTTGAATGTTTTGTTTTTTGGAAAATCCCTCCATGTTTACATATTTTTGCTATGACATGATGGACTTTTTCTCTTGACATTTTTGGTATTTTATTTGATTCCAATTTGAGATTTTATCATTGTATATTGTTATTCTTTCTATATTTTGTACTTATATTGAAGTTTTTGTGTTTGCTTCTGAACTGTACATATGTTGTTTAAATTTGATATAATATGGCTACCGCCACATTTTTGGATTCATCATCGTGCAGTATAGGAGTTCACCTAAACCTCGGAACATTGATACTCGTTTGGAGTAATTCTGAATTGGAAGACGTAATATTAGTTAGGTATTATTTGTATTTCCATTTGTAATTTGTAAATAGACCATTCTCCCTTAGAATTATTGTGTTTTAATTTCAAAATCAAAAAGTGCGTCCAACCTACGTCTATTGGAATCAAATTGAACTGTCACGATGAAGAATTCAACTACAGTCTAACTAATATTGGAATTCAGTTCATTTACAGTCTGGAAATATCTTTATGAACGTGTATATTCTGGAATTATTCCTATGAACGTTTATATTCTGGAAATATTCCTATGAACGTTTATATTCTGGAATTATCTATTACTTTTGATTAGAAGTCCAATTACAGTTGGATTATTAAGAATTATAAAGAAACATTTGGAATTTTAATCGTTTATCACACTAGACTTTCTTGAAAGAAGAAATTTGGATTATTTATCATATTCTTGAACTGAACTGTGGAATTACTATATTTTGTATTTGTTATTTTTCTTATACTGAACTTCATTTATGATGTCAAGTCAAAAAAAATCAGACATGAGGAGGGTGGAAGAGCTCGACGGATCACAGAACTCTAAGCAAGTCGTTAATGATGAATTTTTTATGGGTAACCTACATGTTATGTCTGATACTTATTATTGTGAGTCACCTTTGGCAGGCATTAAGGAACAAAGCTTAAGTGAGAGTTCTAAGGTACCAGAGACGGATCAGATACTTAAGACACCGATAGTAGGCTTAGAACTACTTAAGGTTGAACTTTCATATTTTGATGGAAAGTCTCGCGACTACTTTAGGTTTATGCGCCAAATCGAAACGTTTATAGAATCCAGAATAAAAGATGACCAAGTTCCTTTATGGTATTTAATTCATTATTGTAAAGGAAGGGCAAAAAATGCGATTGAAGGTTGTATTATAATGGATCCACAAGCAGGATATAAGAGAGCTAAGGCCATCCTAAAACAGCTCTTTGGACAGTCGCATGTAATAGCGCGAGAAACCTTAGAAGACTTATTTAGAACCGGGGACGCAGATTTTAATGATCCTGAATTATTGACGAATTTGGCTATTAAGATGCAGAACGCTGCTTTAACTTTAGAACAGCTCAATTGCACAACGGAACTTAATTCCATGGATACTTTAGAACGAATAGTCAGGCTCTTACCTCGTCGAATGCAAGCCCAGTGGGCAGAGCTAGGAATCAAGTGGGACGAAGAGGAGAGAGAGCCTAATTTCAATGAATTGAAGGAATTCGTTATGTCTCGCGCTAAGATAGCTAGTAGAAGGTTCGGAAGCTTAGCTTATCGGGCTAAAACAGGAAATAATACGGAAGCTACTAGTGGTCTGCGTGCGAGACATTCGGATTTTTCGTTTCTACCTAAAGCTTGCTCGGAAGATAAGAGATTTGTCAATTATATCACGAAAGCATACGCTGATGAAGGACGAGTATGTGACCGTAACGATGTAAAACCTCTTGATGCGTGTCCTAGTAAGAAGCCGGTTGGTGTAACAGATAAGATGGCTTTTCTAAGTATGGAAAAGAAGGAAAAGGGTGAAAGGTGTAGGCATCAAGATGGATCCGAAGTGTGTGACGTTAAAAGCCTCTTAGCTGCTCGAAAGGCCTGCAACGGTTATTTGGATTCAAGTAATCAGAGGTTAATGAGTTCAGCAAATATGAATAAGGCTCAGGCAGGATTGTCTGAACGGAACAAGGCCTATGTTCGGAACCCTTCATTTAGGGTAAATTATATAACCGGACCTAGAGTAGATTCTAGGATAAGTGATGGTGGTACTGTAAAGGCTAAGAAGCCTAGGAGACAACATGATGCTACTATTAATAAGAAACCTAAACCTCATGCTATTTCGGATGCTATGACTAGCAATGGAAATAGTAGCCATGAGAACCTTAGTAGTGACAGTGATAATAAGGAGACAGAAAGTGTGAGCAGTCCACTTATAGTGACTAGTCTATCAACTTCATCGAATGAGCCTCCTAGTGTTTCGACGTCATCGGACCTCGTCACGAATGTTAAGTTGATTGAAGATGCACAAGGTTGTGCAACTGTAACTGTTCCTATTACGGTTGACTGTCAGTCGAGTGATGATGAGAAGAAAGTGTTTGATGGTAACAGCCAGTCTACAGTGCTGTGTGATGACGATGCTATTGATGAGCATATGTCTTGTGTCTCTGAAACAGAACATGAAGAACAACAAGTGAGTATATCAGTTTCGAATCGCGATACTAATGCTGTTCTTTCACGAAGTGATATGAGTTATACAAAAATGGAAGACTCTCACTCTATGGATACTTGTGCAGACCGAATCGACGCGACTTTTCTGACAGAACGGAATCATGATGACGTTGATAATAATCTGGATGTCACTGATGTGACAAAGGAGTTACCGACGATGACGAATACTGATCAAACCTCCTCTGTATCCGGAGATGGAAGGATAAATATTGATCCCACGTTATGCTACTTAAAGTCTTCTGGAGACGAAGAAATGTCGAAATTGGAGATCCCACCCTTGCATATTATCTATGGGTCAAGAATTTCTGTTGATAAGTTAGCATCACGGACTTCTTTGTATCTGCTGATCGGAGCAAGTGGTGGTGGATTGGCGACTCGTCCCCATGATAGAGAATGTAGTTCCCGGATAGGATATGACCAGTTTTACGACGTGTTGTACATGTTCGTGTGGGTTAATTGGGTAAGGTTTATACTACCGTTAGGTCATGCCACGATAGATAGGGGAATCAAGGGCCTGATGGGAAAGTATAGGTACCTAGTTAACACGATAGGTCATATCCATGTTGGATGGCGGGTAGGCGTACTGCTGTAAGTCCTACACGTTATTCCGGTGTGGATTAGGGGATAACGGGGAACCCTAAATAGAAGTGTCAATAACGCTTGCTCTTTTTGCATGGAGGGATTTTGCGGGCCGGTGTAGAATCCTTTTTGAATGTTTTGTTTTTTGGAAAATCCCTCCATGTTTACATATTTTTGCTATGACATGATGGACTTTTTCTCTTGACATTTTTGGTATTTTATTTGATTCCAATTTGAGATTTTATCATTGTATATTGTTATTCTTTCTATATTTTGTACTTATATTGAAGTTTTTGTGTTTGCTTCTGAACTGTACATATGTTGTTTAAATTTGATATAATATGGCTACCGCCACATTTTTGGATTCATCATCGTGCAGTATAGGAGTTCACCTAAACCTCGGAACATTGATACTCGTTTGGAGTAATTCTGAATTGGAAGACGTAATATTAGTTAGGTATTATTTGTATTTCCATTTGTAATTTGTAAATAGACCATTCTCCCTTAGAATTATTGTGTTTTAATTTCAAAATCGGGAAGTGCGTCCAACCTACGTCTATTGGAATCGAATTGAACTGTCACGATGAAGAATTCAACAACAGTAAGTGTTTTCAAATATCTGTCTTCAGGAGCTTTTAATTCGGTAATTCTGCATGTGGTCTTCATAACAACTAAATAAATGCATCTTTGACCTTTCAACTCTGTGAAGCTTTTCACACTGAAAAAACTGAATCACAAAGAGAAGACATCGTTTGTTCATGCAACAAAAAATTGATGGCTGATAATGGCCCTTGTTAAACTTAAACGGGTTATTGTAATAATATATAGATAGGATACAACAGAGCGATTGAAACTACGTCATCTAGCAAATTTGGATGGAGTTTTACAGAAGCTCCATATATAGGCGGAATACACTTTGATATGGGAACATTTCGGTTCTTAACAATTTAGGAAACTAAATTTAACCGATTTTTCACTTGCACAATTCACGAGGTCACAATTTTCGGGAAATTTTATTGAACAGCGATGCTGATGCTTTTGACAAAAATGTTGGTGAGGCTGTTTTCGGAGTCGTATATTTTATTTAGTCATTTCATGTGTTATTCATACTTTATGGATGTTCGTTGAAGATTCTAATAAATGCTCGGAAATGTTGTATCGAAAGATCAGTCGATTTAGGTGAGCTGATGATTTGTTGTGCATTACTACCATCTGCACGGATATGAGGGATATACATGACCATTTAAGAATTTTCAAATATCAACTCACACTCGTCACAAATAAAAAGTCTCATTTTTCCGTGAATAGCCCCCGTTCTAATATTTAACCAAACGGTCGTTCAGGATATCTAATTTATCGGCTTGGTTAGAGGTAGATAAACTTTGATTTACGAATGTGCTAAGTACTGTGGGCTTTTGTTCCGCAAATTGTTTTGGACTAAATCAGTGTTAAGTGTAGATATTAAGTATACCAAATCATCCCAACATGAGCTTCTTGCTGAAGCATCGACATTACTCCCTTCGAAGTAACCCAAAATCATCTGCACATGAAAAAGCGAACACCCAGGTTCGTGTGCATTGTTTCTAATTAAGAGTTCAGTAACCTGGAATGCTTTCCTAGTCGATGTGACCAGTGCCCCCACTGTGGATAGTTTCAAAAACAAACACCAACTTGCATACGGATCATCGCATCTCTCATGAAGCAGCTATTCCTAACTGATTTTCGGCCTGATAATGTGATAGCTGCTGATATCTAGAAGCTCTACTTTCATTCAAACCACGGGGCATTTAAATTCACGAACAACTGACAACAGACTAGAATTAGTGCAGTCGAGTGTTTAGAATATCATCCATTGAACACCAAAAATACTGGAAACGGTACTGAAAGAACAAGAATCGAGATCAAAGGAATCAGTCACTTCATATTAGGTCGTGAATTAGGTATTGGATATAGAATCTCTCAAGGGCATTGGACATTACCGAACACCTGGAACCGTACCGAAAGAACAAGAATCGACCGCGAAGAAATCAAATTGGTTTACACTAGCTCGTGAAAAAGATATTAGATTATTAGATAATTGTCCTAGATCCTTGTGGAGGTAAAATTGGCAATCTTTCCGTTACTTCTTCTAACCGCACATCAAACTCTTCGTATAACTCTGAAACCAGCTGTTTTGAAATCTGAATGTAAGTTACTCTACCTTATCCTACTGGCATTCAGTGTACATTTTTTTGTCCTGTTTTCTTTAAAAATCTCAATTTTGACTGTATAATCGCCTAATTCAATTTTCGTCCCTATATTTGCCAACCACACAAAATCTGACATCATAAAAATTTGCTCCACAGAGCAATTCCGACTCGCGTTTTTCTTTGGGTCTTTTAGCTTGAAATAATTGCACACTAATTACTCTCACAAACCAGAGTTTATATTTCAACAGACAGTATATCAAATAAAATAATATGCAGTGATTTTACTTAACCATAGTGCAAATACCTGCGGTAGAGGAGGCCGTATCTCCATTCCACGCCACGATGTTTTCCTTAGCCTCAATAATGCGAGGCTCTTCCATGAAATAGTAATTGACCCATGTGCTTGAAAGCACTAAGTATATTTTCTTAGCTTTCAAACCCACATTTTTTCACATGGGCATCAGTTTACTCATTAACAATATATAAACAATGCTTCATTGTCTATGACCTGATGTGGATTATTCCTGAATCCCCTAAAAGATCATGTCAGTGCAGCCTGTCAATATTCACCGATTTACTTCTAAAATTCTCAGAAGTTATCAGTAAGCCTTGGCTTACATTATACAAGTGGTTAAGTGGACACCTTTCAGATTTTGTGTTGATTGACTTTTACTACACCTGATATAGATTCGTTGGGGGTTTGTATTTGTTAAATTACTTTAGAAATATAGACTAAAGCAGACTTTATATTAACAGCATTCAGTCAGTTGCAGCGCAGAACTTCGTACGTACATCAATTCAATATGCTATACCATATTCACATGCAGAGATGAAATGGTCAATTTAAATCCCATAGTAGTATAGGTATCAGAGGTAGTCGAAGAGACTACAGATTGTACCGTGTGTTCTGAATCAATAAAAAAACCACCCAGCAGAGAATCAGGACCTAGACCTTGTAAATTTATATCCACGACTCCTTTCACGCCCTGATTCAATAATGTAAATACTCACTAACTTTAGTAGCTAAGTTTTATATTTGTCAAGGATGTTACTGATCTTTTAGGATCCTAACTGATATGCCTTACGTACCATGGCATAGTCTTGTATGTTTTCCCAATATTTAGACCACTACTGTCTACGTCTGACTACTTGTCCTTTTATCTTGATCTGCGTAACCAACATCATGAAATTTACATAAGACCACCAACCACAGGCTTTGCAACCACTATTCGTTGGGAGTAGTAGGATCGGCAACAAATACAATAATTCACCAACAGTACTGGACATTTTTACATAAGCCATTCACATCTGCCTTCCTAGTCTACCCAACTTCTGATAGGAAGTCCTTTTCACGAATCACTGCGGTGATCTATAAGGCAACCATTGCTAAAGACCCAAACTTAAGATCCAATCTCGCTTTTTCACTGTATCATCCCTGCCTATGTAGCTAAGGCTTGATTATGAAACAGGTTTGAGAGGTTAACTTACTACATATTTATTAATATTGCTAGGACATAAAATATACCCGTCACTGGAATTACTAACTTCACTCCTTTTCTTTATCCTTCTTATCTCAGATATCTAGGGAACTAGATTGACTTACACGTTGATCCTTTCTTTATATATTTTGACTACATATGAATAAGTGGAATAATTAAATATTTCTCCACAAAATGCATCAACTACCAATCACTAGTTCACACTGAAAAAAATCTATTAAGTGTTCGATACACAGATTCCCCGGAACCTGAATGTTGTCGTACTAAATTCTCAAGTTTCGGTTCCTCTTTAAAACATTTTGCATTTATGATTTACTAATTATGTGAATAATAATTTGATATTTTAGATGGCATCGTATAGTGCTCCATCCGCCAGATACGTAACATATGCAGATTGGTTACAAGATGCCCATAATACTGATGACGTGTACTACACGTATAATGGACGCTTAGTCAATAATATGGAAGGGATTCCGAAATATGCATTGTTAAAAGTGCATTATCGTCTGCGAGGTGGTAAAGGCGGTTTCGGATCTATGTTACGAGCTATTGGGAGTCAAATCGAGAAGACAACCAACCATGAAATGTGCAGAGATTTATCAGGTAGGAGAATGCGTGATGTAAATCTGGAAAAAAAACTAAAGGAATGGTATGCTACGGCTGACGAACGGGAGCGTAAGAAAGCAGAAGAATATGTAGAAAGACGACGAAGACGCCAAGAATTATTAAAACAGGGTCTTTTACCTGGACATAGTTTTTCAGATCGTGAATATGAGCGACAGAAACGCAAAATTGCATACGAACTACGCTCAGCCTTGAATACAGGTAAAGTTGCTTGATACATAGTAAATTACACTATACTTAGCCATAGAGAGTGTTAACAAAGAGAAGGGACAAACGGATAGTACATCTTCCATTTCATCAGAAAAGCAGCTAAATCCAAAGCGTGCTCGATTGTGGATAGAAGAAATGGATAAAGCACTGTCTTCGAGTTCTAGCGATGAGGAAATCTTGGCTAACTCATCATCTGACAGTTCCTCTAATCTTGCAAAACAAGATGATAATCTCTCCGTCGAAAGTAATACTGAAGTCACAACAGAATCTACAGAATTTGACAGTATTAGAAGCGATGCAATCGGTAAGTTAGTTTAGTACGAATAGTTCAGTATTTATCAATCCACTCGATTTGAGTCGATAGATCATTGGTTTAGACGTCGCCCGCCTATTTCCGTATGAAAGACTGAGGAGTTCCCCCATTTCTTTTATTAGATATTTCGAGGCTTGGTATATTTAGGCGCATAGTCAGTTACAGCTGTCACCACATGTTATTTAAATTACCAAACGTCATTCGTATCACTTGGGCAGCACTTCTTGCGAGCATATAGAAGCAACTATCGCATGCTACGTAGAACACTGTTGCCGACTTCATTATGTACTATGGTGTATATCGAGGATTTTCTGTCTACGAATACAGGTTATAAACTGACAAAGCTGTAGGTCTCCACAACCGTTTCGTACTGAGAAGTCATGAGTCTACAAACTTTAAATTTTTGTTACTTGCAAATGCGACCGCAACTGTTTTTATCTAGTCAAACTAATCAATTTGTAATCCTTATGTTGGTTGGTTGTACTAGGTCTTCTTCAAATTACAAAATGCAGCTGAAGGTAGATACAAAATTGCCGAAAATTAGCTGTACAAACTACTTTAAAAATTATTATTACTATAGAATCAGCTACATCTTAACATTACTGTAAACTTATTTAAAATAGAAATAGTAGCTGATGATATGCGAATGTGTGGGTCTAGTTGCGAATCAACTATTGGAATACGTTGGAACAAGAACGCCACGTGATTTTGAAGATGACTTTTGTTATACAGCGATAATAGTACTATTCAAGGTTAATAAAATTGGACATAATAGATGCATTTGAACTTTTATCACCAACTACGGTAAGTAGAAGTCAAAGTACTTAAAATATTTAATCATATAGATTGTAAATCTGTTATTCATTGACGAATAGTAAATAAAAAGGAAAATTAACTGAATTAATTAATTCATGTTTCGGGTTTTAGGTGAAAATAATAAAGAGTTCCTAAATGCATGTGACAATACTTCAACAGAAGCTGCACAACCTTTGACTGACCAACAATTGCGTGAAGTAGAAACTGCTGAAAATTTGGAAGTGTTTGGCTTGAATGTGCTCAAAGAAACCTTAATGGCTCGGGGTTTAAAATGCGGAGGAACGTTAAAAGAACGAGCTAGTCGGTTGTTTTCTATCAAGGACTTAGGTTCTGACCAATACCCTGTAAAGCTACTAGCGAAGAAAAAATAGTTCTGATTTTCTGAAGAGATGCTTTTTTATAATGTGTTTATACTTTTAAAGATTTGTTTTGGCATATAACTATATTTATAATCATGTCGACGACTTGTATTATTTTCAACTCGACCTCCGTGAAAGATTCTTAAAAAAACGAAAAAATATGTAGTAATAATGACCACATACAAACAAAACGTATTATTGATAAATAAAACAGTATTTGGCTGGTTTACAATCATTGTTCGAAATAATTTGGTGTATTATAAGTAAGCATGAAATAAAAGTAAACAGCAGAATGAACATCCTTAAAACATAAAGCAGTAACAAGGAAAAATGAAAAGTAACATCACATTTGATTTACTGCAGGAGTCGAAAAAAGATTAAGGAAATGACATCTGAGGGGAAATACTTAAGAAAATGATCTCCTGAGACTAATTGAAATATGGCGCTGAAAGTTTAATAGTATTTTTTCTGAACAAACGGATGTGCACATCAAGGAGTAAAGAAGTGGAAGGTGAAACACATTGTCTGTTATTAATTACAACCCATTGTACATGTTTAAGTTGAGTATCATTGTAGTACACAACTTTTATCGATTCTTCGTCTCCCATATGATTGAAAACTTGCATTCTGCTCCAGCTCCAGTTCTTCAGCTAACCTGTAATTTTGAAGAAACGTAAATGTTAAAAGTGCAAAGAACTTACGCTTTCTCGTGTAGGTCCAATTCTTGGATTATGTCATCACGTTCATTAACCAACCGTACCAGATCTTGTAAAAGAAGATCTTCTCGCCTCCTATCATTGTCCGTTTTCAAATAATCTATTTTAGGAAAATAATTGCGATTAGTTCGTGCTTTTAACGACAGTTAAAGGATAATCCTGTTAAATCATGAATTTCACGTGGCTCATTAAAGGAGTTTAACAGCTGAACGTGACTCAGTAAATGAATACATTTTTGAAGACTAATTTTACTACCTGGCTGCCCAATGCTTGTGTTATGTATTCCAACCGCTTCGTTGACAAACATTACATGCCTATAAACCTGTGATAAGGTCGCGACAATAATTTTTTAGTGCGAATTCAATACCCACGTTATTTAGGATAAACTAAGAAGAAAGACACTCAGATAGGCAAACATAAAAGTTATGTATTTTGATCAAATTCCAAACAATATCAGGAAAAAGTACTAAGCGGTTATCGTTATGAAAAATAAGTTCTTTGACTCTAATTGTAGCAATCGATTTCATACAGACACAATGGATAATCGTGTTGAAAGTAAAGCGTTTAAAAAGCGTACTGCTGTTTTTTTGCAGTGAGAAACGTACACTAACTATATGAACTATATGAGCCTATGATAACTAGAATTATGCAACAGCCATTGCGTTTGACTGTCCATAACAGACGTACCTTTCGAAAAAGATTGGTCTTTATTATGAGAGACACTTTATATGTAGTCCATCATTAAATTTGGAAAACAGAACAATCCCAATGTTAATAACCATAGAGGAGAAGGTGGAGGTCACGGTAGAAAATACGTTTTGGAGCCCAAAAGTAAAAATTGAAATAACCTAAAATGAGATTCCTAGCACCTTATAATGTGTATAAAGGTAAATAATTACATCACTGTGTTATAACACAAAAATACTAATTAATCATGTTTTCATTAAAACGACCTTTTTTGGTTAATCTTGGTGGCTGTGTCAATGGCGATATCCGGTTGGTAAAAATATTTTAAATTTACCTTCGACGGCTAAAACCGATCGTAATTCGTCTTGCAACATTTTCATCTTCTTTTTCAGATCATCTTCCTTCTCCCTAAAATAAGTGAAATAATTATATCACTCATGTAATTAGGTAATAAAAATTACGGTGAGACATATATGACCTACTAGAAATAAAGTGATTAGGGTGAACGAGATGGTTTAAATACGAAATAATTAGTTTCAAAACTTTAATTTAATTATAAAGGGTTCATGAAGTTTACCTGTCATAGATCCAAATCTAGACAATTGCTGTTATCGAGCAGTGTCGGAGACTGATACCGACACATTTTATACACAAGCCCCTAACCAGTTACGAGTGAAAAAGAAAGTTTATAGAAATAAACCGATTCACAAGCATAAACATTTATTTGGGCATATATATATATATATATACTCCTTAAGAAACGAGATCATTTCAGGACCAGTAAGATGCACATGTTATTTGAGAGTTTTTTGATTAGCATAACGCGGTCTTCTCATTTGGCGACTTTTGATTATCTCAAGTTATCAGAAGTTGAGCGAATTGCACTGGAGTATGTGATAATGAGCTTAAAAGGAGAGTGATTACTGGCTACATGCAAATCGTTTTCAATCACCAACGGGATGTACGCAATGATATATTTGGATGCACAATATTATCTTTATTTCATTTTATATTCTTCTATCTGATGCTGACTTACAGTATCTCAACAGAATATACCCTGACACTGCCATAACCTAACACTGAATCGCTCGTAGAACAAGTATCCAATATATCTGTTTAGTTTCCCGAAACCAACAATATTGGGACTATCTAATGTAGCAACTAAAATGAAATTAAGGCAGTTGGATTAGATGTCGCTGTGCAAGTTGAGTTTATAACGTATTTTTTTCAGACAACATATATATTGAAATGTTCGTCAGTAAAAAATTACACTTAATTTGTATAATGCAATTAGAAGGATAAACAATCTTACATTATAGACAGCTGGAAGCCACGATGAATCAGGGCATTCTTTTTATTGACTAAAATAAACCATCTTCTTAACAACTGTTCTTCTAAGGCGGTCCCTGGTCTATATGCCATCTGTTGACGTAACTGTGGCTCGAGAGCAGCTGCTTCTTTATCCAATTCCCTCTGCGCCTCTTCTAATTCGGCCTGCTCATTACTGATGTAATTTGAGGCAGATGGAAGTGCATTGGACGAATCGTTAACTGAAGAGCCTTTAAAAACATTTAGATATGAATACAAATATTTGTATATATTATAAATCCATTAAATGAACAGATATAACTGAAGTCAATTTTACATCTTATTAAGTTTACACATTTGCGTAAACTATCATTAGAGACGAAATAGCGTTAATTTTTGACGATTAAAAAATATTTTTCCGTGTTAGGTTCTTCTACTTCAACGTCAATAAAAATAACCACCACGCCGTATTAATCTTAATATTAATCTTGGTTTAAAATGGTTGGAGAGTAAGTAAATTAGTTGATCACATTCATGGGAACTTATTGTGCTTAAACAGTAGGCAATAGAAAATGCCTATATGATGTTTTTCATAACGTTCAGACAGAAACTACAGACTTCCTAAATTGCAGAATCAATTGAAAATTCTCACAGATAGCAGTACTGCTTTCAGTGCGATATATGCAAATGTCGATTCAAATAACACTTGAAGTTACAAAGCAATATGATCATCTAAGATTGTCATATAATGTTTATTTTATGAAAAACGGACACTAATATAAACCTATAACCAATCCATTGTTTATGTACAGAGCAAAATATATCATGGTATGTTGGGATTGTATTCTTCATTTGAGGAAACAACGTAGAATATGTTCTCTTTGTAAATCTAGAAAGCTAATTGCACTCTTCGTGACATTTAATATATGACCACGAATTCGGATAGGGTGCTTACTCTCACTCACTTTATTCTGGTCGTTGACTGGATTATGAAAACCTCTACATCCTAGGGGAAGCATTAAATACAGTGGACAGATAGTATGTAGCTAGATGATCTGGACTTCGCACACAATTTACCTCTTCTATTCTCACAAATAACAACAAATGAAGACGGCCAGTGTAGCAGCAGTAGGCCTTAACATAAACAAGGAAAAAGGTAAGACCCTTAAATACAATATACACCAACAAAATCACACCTGACGGAGAAGCTGTGGAAACCTTTTAATATGGCAAAGAGCACACCAGATTCCAGCTGAGGAAGTGAACAGAAAACAACGCTGCAGATGGATAGGACACATTGCGTAAATCACCCAACTCCATGACGAAGCAAGCCCTAACTTGGAATCCTCAAGGCCAAAGGAAAAGAGGTAGGTCAAAAAACGTAATATGCCAGGAATTAGAGGTAGACGTGTAAAGAATTAATAGCAATTGGGAACCACTAGGAGTAAACTGAAGATGGCTGATTAGCTAGTGAAATGTATTGCAAACTAGCTTTAATCATATATAGTAGATATTTCTTATTTTGATCATGGTTTATTAAAATATGTAGTTTCTACATAACTAACCTTGATTTTTGTTCTTAATGAAAAAAGTATGGTCCACGAATGTTTGTTCACGGAAAGGAAGCATAAAAAAATTAAAAATGACAATAATGTGTATCTATGTAACAAGATATTCATTTATCATAATATCTATTAGAAAATTGGAAAGTAAATACTACGTTTGCAGTCAGTCTTCAACTTGAAATTCGAATACTTGGAAAACTCATTGGTACCTGATAACGAGTATGAATGGAACAAAACATACAGTCTAAATGAATCTTCCATTTCTCTGACGAAATTCCCAGGATAATTATGCAGTAAAATGCCTTTTTAGAAATGTAAACTAACACCGAAAGAAAATAAGTCGGAAAAGTTGACAGTTCGCTATATGATAACATTACAAATGGGAAGAAAAAAGACGACTTTTAAAAGTAGAGTTTGCACACGAAACTGTAAATGAATCAATACTTTTTGCAATAAAGTTCCTGCAGAAAACATCCACTGCAGCTAAACGGTATCTTCTGTTTTGTTTTGAAACCACCATATCCTCATGGTCAAAAGTACAGATAGACTTCCTAAGTTTGCTTAGTCCACAAGTAGGTATCAATTAAACTGCTCCTGTGGAGCTAATTATCAGGTGAACAACTCGGGAAACTCGGCAACAAATTTCTGAACACTATTCTTCATGATTAGACAGAAGTAATTACTTGTGGTATGTTTGTTTCGATTGACTAAGTTAACAAACTGGATTGAATCATGTTAGTGGGTGTAGACCACCTGGTTGGGGTCTGTGAGAGAATCGTAACCGGTGGTTAGAGTTTTTGAATGACATGACTCGAAATCATTTGCATTGGCAGAGGTGCATCCATTCTTTGTCTACTCTCGAATTATAATCTTTTGGACTCCTCAAGACTTTTTCTCTTTTTAAAATTATTTTACTTGTTTATATTTCTCTAATCGTTTCTTCGAACCTTAATCTTTTCATTTGCCGCGAATATTGCTACAACCTCTAACATTTCGGTATTTGAACTGACAATTCCATCTCTCTATGCCAACGTAAGCGGCAACTTTAATTGATGTACGTACATACCAAATTCTGTATTATAGCTGACTGACTGACTCAATAACATATGTGTACGAACACAAGCTTTAACTAGAATCATCGTCATAGCCTATATTAGAGCTACCTAGAAAGTATAATACGTTAATTGATAATAATTAATTTACATATCTTGACTTACAGGAGTGGAAATGTGAGTTTGGTTGTCCGTTTTATTATCCAACCAGTGTTCACCAATACGTACAGGTACTGGTGCACCACTACCTCGACCTGACGCGAAAAGATTCATTTGTGATAGGCGTAAACGCCTAACCTTCATTTGTTCCGGCGAAAACTTCGCGTCAACAGTTGACTGTTGTGGTTTACTAAGTGTTGGAAAAATATTACTCGTTGAAAATCGAAATGGCTTAGAAGTGGGATTTAATGAAGTATCAACATTCGGTATACATATTGTGCCTGTAAATTGGAGGTATAATAAACTGAGTGACATTTTTATTCAGCAATATATGTGGTCCATGTAAACGAGCTAGCGAATGGGCACAAATACAAGCAACTATGAAGTAAGATAATAATTTGATATTAATAAGTAATTCACCAAAAAATAGAAACCAAACTTAAAGCATGCATGGCAAGCGTTTAGACTCAAATAGTTGGTTATTTGAATGAAAATCACTTTGAACTACGGTTAAGATGCGACACATTAATCTATACTAATACGAAATTACAAATGTGATTTTATTTCTCTTAGGGACTGGACTCAAAAATGGAGTAATATTGAGTGAATTCCATTTAATTTCATAAGCTACACTACGGATTTGTTTCAGTGAACAAATTGAAGAAATGTCAATTATTGGATCTTGATCGTATGCGGGCCAAGTGCATTATTATGATTTGTATTATAGCGTCAGTAATCATTTTCGACTACTTCTGAAATCAGATGACTGTTTGATAGCAGTTTTCAATAAGTGTCAGTTTGTAGAAATTTGAATGAGGTTAACAACCTATTAGTGAAGTGATTAGCTTCCGTAGTCTATAAATGTACATTAACTATTATGTTTACGATTTTCTTCCTTCTGACCGGTTGAATCGTAAGATTGAAGAAAACATTCTCTTCAAACAATCTCAAAATGTGATACATTATACTTAAGCTCGAAAAATAAGAAAACCATTACATCAGTATTATATTGCCCAAGTAAAATGCTACTTTCTTAGTGTAATAAAAGATGGACACTGTCGACCTCATGCTAGCTGAACTATTAAGTTAAACATGATAGTCGTAGGACACTTGAAGCCAAACTAGATAAATTCTGTGTGCTTAGTTACTGGGGAAGGTGAATGAAAGACAATCAGTAATTCAAGTCACGTAAAATCAGCTGAAAAAAACTGGTTTATTCGGTAGACCTGGTCAATAACAGTTGTGATTGTGTTGTACCTAGGTTTCGGTAGCCAATCAGTATATACAAATACTGGATGGGTTTGTGCCAGAATGTTGAAGATCACTATTTTTATACTCAAAAATACTAGATTACATGATGTACAAATGATAATACGGAACAAAATCGATCTTAAATTACCGAAAATATGGGTAGAAATAGTTAGAGACTAACAATAACACTTGCACGCATACTAAAACGTGAAAAATCGTCGTTTAGATAATGAATAAAAGCTTCAGTTAACACTGAACCAAACTAAGAAATTGCTGAGAACTCAATTTTCAAATGATACATTCACTATACTACTGTGCATATTAGTCCAACTAAAGTTACAGGACGACTGGCAGAAAAACGAAGTAATACGACATAAAAATGCAGAAAATAGAGTAACGTTATATGTTCACAGAAAGAGATGGAACTGCATGAAATGTATCGTTCAGTTTTCACAAAAACAACGAATTGATCATATTGTCTTTCTTGCAACATCTATTCCAGTGGGATTCAACTTCCTTATGATTAGTTTGTTTCATGTAAAGTTGCACCTGCGCCATTGTAAACGATTTTGAGCCATGTCATTTAGTCTGTAATCATCCGTTACTATCGTCTACACCGACTAACACAGCTCAGTCCAGTTGTCAGTGACTTCATGGATTAAAAAAAGAAAGATAAGGGTGATGTAGAATCCAGAGGATTACGATTTGAGAGAAGTCAAAGAATGGATGCAACTGCGACATTGCAAACGATTTTGAGCCATGTCATTCAAGGTTTCTAACCACCGATTACTATTATCTCGCGGACCCCGTATCGAGGTAGTCTACACGTACCAACATGACACAGCCCGCTTGTCAGTCACTCCATGGATTTGTGCTATGTTTTAGTTTGGCCGCCCTAGCTTTCTTTCACCTTACCCCTACATCAGACAACATCGCTCGTCGAAGCAGTCGGCGGTTGGGAATTCGTAATACATGTCCCAAACACCTCAACTGATGCAGATTCACTACTTCATCTATTGATCCGCCATCCTGTTTCTTAACAAAGGAATTTTTTTTACTCGTTGGTCCGAAGGTATACGAGAAATGCTTCGAAGACACCTGTGATTGAATATCCTATCCTCTTACTGGTAATGTTTCGCACCCGTAGGGTAGGACGGAGCGAACTGTTGCGCAGTAGACTCGTCCTTTGGTTAGCAAACGGATATCTCGTCTACAACGAATGTTGAACCTTCCATTTCCGTGCTGAGATTTCATCAGACACCAGGCCATCAACACTGACGAGATTCCTGAGATAAGTGAAGCGGTCAACATGCTCAAATACTTCCCTCCGTATTACTAGTTCCAAGCCAATCCTGAAGCAACATTTTGTAATACTTAGCTCACTGCATAATAATGCTTCCAACGTGCATGTGTTCGTTCTCTTGACTAAAATCAGGATACCCAATAACGGATTTTTGTGGTTTAATTGTCTTCTCATCATTGAAGATGTTGTTTATCAACTAAGGAGTATTTTAGAGTTCGTATCTGTTTAAGGCAGAAAACGCGTCACCTGTATAACGTTTCGAAAGCTTTGCTTTCATTACTTTTTTCCTGCATGGAGTTTCTTTGATCTGTTAAAATGTATAACAGCTAGATAGGTAATTTGTTCAAAGAAGTCAACTCATGAAGCTTCAACGAAGTGTATGACAGCGAAAGAAAGAAAACTCAGCTTTATTGACAAAAGAAATTGTATCAAATATGAAAAGCATTTGATGGAGGAGTATAGACTCCACTTTCAACTACGGATACATAACGAAATACTAAAACAACGCTATAGACTCGCTGATATAATTAGTCATAAAAGGTTGCAGATACGAATTTTGCTATAAAAAAAATCAAAGTTGACGAACAGGTTCAGTTCCGAGTCTATTCACAGAAAACCAATCAGTAAGAGGTCGATCAGACAAAACAATTGCACACACAGACAACCAGTTGCAAGCTTTGTCATTAAGATAAAATGCTTATCTGTTAGTGTAAAAGTTATAAAAATCTCAAAATGCTTATGTTGTCCAAAATGAAAATGAACGTTTTATACATGAATCGCCCAAATCAGAATGCGACACCATCGTAAATATCTGATAGGTTTTAAATATTTTTCAACAAGCAAATGAGCAAACATGAAGATAATTTTTATATACGTGAATTCATTCTAAGTGTGTGAAGTTCATAACCAGTATTCGACATTTTCGAAACAGTTTATGAATGAAACTTGCAAGTATTATTAAATTTTATATTGATCATACTAATTTTGTGACAAGATATTAAAATAATAATAATAACCGATATTTTTTGGCTAATTTTTGAGATTATAAATAACTACCTACTTCCAAATCTATCTGTATTAAGTTAAAAAAATATTTAGTAAATGTCCATAATGTTTATGCTAGTTTTTGAATATAAGTGAATTCAAACAAATTGAAATTACCATCAGAATTAAATCTATACAGAGTTTTGTGCGATTTTCGATGTTCTACATAAAATGTGTTTATTTAATTATTCAAAACATATTTATTTAAGCAAAACAAAAATCCAGAGATCATAGCATGGATGTATTACACAAACGAATGAGCATCAATATGCAAGGCAGATAACAGGCATATTAACATAAGCATATTATATATATATATATATATATATATATATATATATATTTGCGTTTACAAAAATACATGTATTCAGTTATATCATGAACAACAATAATATTATGCAGTCAGAGCAATATTGTCGAGCGAAAAATAAATTATAGAAGAAATTAACGAACAGCATAAACAATAGTTTAATATAAGTAAAGAATAATTTGGATTTAAGTACATGGCAGTTAGCAAATAATACATACGCATTTCCATACGTATCAGTTACGTAATGGGATGAGAATGGGTGCAAAAAAGGGAAAAAAGTTAAGCGTTAATATTAGGTTTTAAAAATCAAGTGAAATGTTTAATTTCAAAGAATAATATTTTTAGTCAACTTTTTAAACTAAAATAATCATTAAAATGTAAAATACATTGGTAAGAATTTGGGCTTATTTCCTTTTTGCTATAATTTGACTAAATTGGCGTTATTGTGTTATCGTATATTAATTTGAGAAAGAAACACTTCACGACTTATCATTATTTTTTCAACAACACTAACTTTTACAGATAAAAGTGAGTATATTTTTCCGTCCATACAATAATGGACGTTCGGAGAATTCAGAGCAACTTAAGTCGGTTATTAATATCAAGTCACGATCCGCTCAAGCAAACACAGCCTAGAGCCCCCTGAGGTTACTGCCAGTCCCAAGCCCAGATAAAGGAGGGTTGTGCACAGGGTTAACAACTCACTAAAAAATAATCCACCTAAGTAACTCAAGTATATCACTATTTCATGCTACGGACACTCATGATTTCATATTACTGTAAAAGTTATTGTTAGGATATTCAACAAATATCCTAAGGGTACTATTTTTGGAAGTATAATCCTATTGGTCGATTTCTATTGGTCAAAATTATGGTCGTTTTAACTCTAAAAGTCAAATACTTCAATGTTGTCTCTTATTGGTCTTCCGGACTGTCAATGTCATTTCAAATGTTCTTTCCTATTGGTCGTCCTAAACTGTCAATGTCACAGACTTTGATGCTCTTTCCTATTAGACCTTAATGTATAAATACGCACTATCTGTAAGCCTTCATGATTCCGATTCCGTTTCTTCCTGCCTACCTCTCTTCTGTGCTTGACCTAATAAACAACTCCATCCCAAGGTGTTGCGTTCAGATATATAGGGGATTTGGAAATAGCATTTTTGGGTCGTATTGGGACATTTGAATTGGACGCCGCTAGGACTGAATAGCTATACGTAGCAGCGTTACAACAGTTATATAATGCATCATTCTGAGGACAGCCGTTATAGTATAATTATTTATTTACAATATCTAAAAGAAGATAAATTCGTAACAACACTCTTATAAATAAACTTTTTCCAAAATATCCAACAACATGTTGTACGAGACCTTTAGTTGGATACCATAATGATGAGGCAAGAACAGTAACAATTATTACTGATGCGCTGGGCACGTCAACTGGTTGCAGCTGCACCTCAGAGTTTAATTCCTCTCCAGCACTAGAACCCAATAACGTCTGCTTCAAAACCCATCACATTATTCAATTAGCAATTGAGTCCAGATAGCTACTCACTTGTGGCAACCAAGACTAATCAAATTTCAAAAACGAGATAATCCAAACCATATCAGATCGAATTCAATCTCATATCTGTTGCACAAATGAGAGTGGCTATCTGGACTTAGTAGCTAAGAGGATTACGTGCGTCCTGGATTCAACGACTGGCTACATTCTATTTATTCTATATATATATATATATATATATATATATATATATATATATATATATATATATATATATATATATATATATATTTCTTTATATTAAGAAACCAATGAAAAAAGATACATTTAAGAAATATGCAGAAAGATGATCAGATAGAGAATGATTACCAACTGAATGTAGCATAAAAACGATTGAACTTACACACATAAGATATGTGCAAACTGAAGTCAATAATGGTTCATTAAGATATTTGGCAACATTATTACAACTCATTAACATACATAAAAATTATTACGTGTGCTACATCTATTTTTTCAGAAATAATTACTTTAAAGTTAAAGAGAGAGAGTTAAAGAAAGCCCATGCATTATACTGAAATAAAATAAACAGGTTAAACTTTGCTATCAGTCTTGGATTCTTGTATCGACCAGTAACGTAATTAGTTGAACTGTATTTACAAGAACATTGATATTATTGAAAGAACGCAGTATTTCATATATGACCTGTACAATAGCTTATATACATATATGCTCTGTTGTTTCTAGAATTTATACAGCACCATTTGAATCAAATTTTAAAAGCAATATTTACTGGAAACGCTTATGTATAGAGGTATGGTTTTATAGTTTGGGGACGGATCACAGGTTCGAAACTTGCTACTTTGTATTTTCGTTTAGATAGTCAAGTTATATAACCAGCTCTAGTCCAAAAAGTATAACGTAAATCCAAGTATAGAAACTTGTACATGATAAATAAGTGTTTGTAAATATGAAAAATTATTCAACAAAAAACAACGAAATCTCACTTGTATATAACTTTGCCTCAATCAGTTGATCAGTTTTTCCTTCAGATCTATTATTCATTAAACTCTCGTCCGTTGTTGGATTTCGGTTGAAATTTTCATTTACTGAATGAATACCTGTCAGCGAACCAGATCTAGGATATGGTTTACGGGGATGTGCTAAAGGCGGCAGAGCACTAGGTCGACTTGTTGGTGCTAAATAATTTTGACGTGATTGTTGTAAAAGACTGCGTGCTTTTGCCAACATGTGTTCATAATTCGTTAAAGGGATTTTCTTGAAGTGAATAATAATATCACAGAATTGAACAGAAAATTTTTAAATAATAAAGAAGCAAAAACGTTATCAGCGTTATATTAAATCACAAATCAGAAAATTTAAAGAGTGTATGAAAGTAAAGTTTCGACTAGTAAAAACATATTTCCTAATAAAGTTTTATTCACAGGTGCCTGTAATCACAGGTGCCTGTAATCACAGCTCCGTCTTACTTTATGGCTGTGAAACATGGCCAGTGAGAGTAGAAGATATTCGTAGGTTACTGGTTTTCGATCATAGGTGTCTTCGAAGCATTGCTCGTATATCCTGGGACACCCGAGTGAGCAACGCTGTTATTAGGAATCGGGTGCTAGGTAAGAATGGCAAATCAATAGACGCAGTAGTGACACTTCATCAGTTAAGGTGGTTGGGACATGTGTTGCGTATGCCCAACCACCGACTGCCTCGTCGAGCCTTGTTTTGTAGTGTAGGAATAGGTTGGAAGAAAGCTAGGGGCGGCCAAACCAAAACATGGCAGAAATCCATGAAGTCATTGACTAGTGGACTGAGACATGTCGGTAGTTGTCGACTACCTAGTTGGGGTCCGCGAAACGATAGTAATCGATGGTTAGAGACCCTGAATGACATTGCTCGTAACCGTTTGCAATGGCACCGGTGCATTTATTCTTTGTGTTCTCCCAAATCCTAATCTTCTGGATGCGTCAACACCTCTATAGTTTTGACTTTCTAAACTTATCTCACTGAATCATACTTCTTGAACAATATCTTCTAATCATAACCTCTCCGATTATTTCTAATACCTTTACTATTTCTACTACTATTGGATTTGAATTGACAATTACATCTCTGCGCTAATGAGGTATGGCAACATGAACTGATGTACTTACGTACGAAGTTCTACGTTGCATCTCACTGACTGACTGCCTGTAATCACAATTAAAAATTGGGAAATATGAATGAAAATTTAAAATTTATCGATTAAGCTAAAATGTTTTTCAAGCGTATGACCTCTTAATATTGAATATAAAAGACTGCAGTGCTTCACAATCGTATAACCAGTAACTGTTTACTCAGCTATTAAATTTTCACGAATATATCTTAGTTTATTTGAAGTTTGTGATATGATAGGTATATTTTAAGTTAATTCCTTTTTGCACAAAGACATATTCGCATGTAAAGTTATCGAACTATATGAAGAATGTCTAAGTAAAGTGACTAATGAATAGTTACAGAAATTACACAAGTAAAGGTTTTGAACTTAAGTTCTAATTCCAGGTAGTGCAATTTATTCATCTTACAACACTGCATTGCTTAACAAAAGTTTTGCAGAAAAAATCAGGAAATTCATTGTCGAACTAGAGATAATATAGATAATAACGCACGATGATGAGTGAGCACCTTAAACCAACTATAGTCAATCAGTAATAAGCGACATAGAATCAGACAGAATCTATTATACACATAATCCCAGACGACTAGTGATTTCTCAGGAAGAAGGCCAATTACTGTAAAGTCAAATGAAATAAGTCTTAACATTTAGGAGGAAGTCCATGAGAAAATTAAGTAAGAAAGAGTATAAGTGGGCAGCCAATTTAAGGTTGAAATCCTCGGAAATATTTCACCGTAAACTCAATTAGTAGTGTTTAGGTAGAGAGCACTCATATTGCCTATCGACTTCACTTGCATACCACTCAACGAAAAGCACCAATACAAAATATCTCGAGTGCTGACTCAAGATATAGAGATATACTAGGGGGTCCGAGCTACATCTATGTTCAAAAACTTAATTAAGAGTGAATATTTGATTCATGCATTTATTTGAAACAATTAATTCCTTTCATGTCCAGGTCTGAAACTAAACAGCTTTTCGCGAAATTCATTTAAGCGTGCAATGATTACGAAAATTAACGAATCGAACATTTTATTAGTCAAATTAGCTTATCTGTAGTTATCACAAGAGGGTTTGAGTCCTTCCTCGAAAAACTGGAATAAGCATCGATAAGATTAGGTCCATTTCTCAGGTTTTATCTAATAACCGATCCATTTATTAGAACTGAACTATCACATTCAAAGAGTTCTGGAACTAAACTATCAGATTCTAATGCACTCCATCGCTTTAGCTCAGCTAAAGCCTTCTCGAATCCGTTAAGTGTCGGGTTGAAAGATTGCAGTTGACCTTCCATTTAGATTATTCGGAAATAATGGGTGACCGGAAACTAAATAAAGTCTTTATTAAGGGTATACAATTACTTCGTTATTTTAAAAAAAAACTGTCTCAGAATTTGCTGTTTCGATAGCCATATGCGGATAATTTTTACCATATATTATAATTATTTACCATCTAAACTATAAGGTTTATTTATCAAAAAGCTTAAACTGAACAGAATCGAAATAATTTCATCCTTGTTAAACATATACAACTCATTTTTCAGACGATGAAAGGCCACAACAACAGTAACGTTTTAAAAATAATGCTGAAAATGAAATCATGTATCGAAACCAAGTTATGAACAATATTCTCATCAAAAACTGAAGTACAAACACGCTAACCTCACAACGAAACAAATATATATGATTTAATTACTAGCAGTATCGAACGTATCGAACTAGTCACAAAAAATATACGATTAATGTATTATATTATTAGGCTTATTGAATCAATGTATAAAATCTATGTTATTATTCAAAACAGCATTCTTGGAAAACACTTGTGGTTTTTTCCATCTTGTAAATGATTACTGTAAAGTGTTTTCCCTCCATGGGCATTTCGTAAATTGATGAGAACAATGGCTTGAATCAATGCTACAAATGTATCAGGTTTTAGGTAACGAATGCACCATTTAAGTTATAACCAACTGTTGTCAACACAATCGTGATATTCTGATTATCATGAGATATCAAAAGGTTAAAAACGTGGATATATGATTACATATTATCTAAGTGATGAAAAGAATATAGTTTTTCTTATTTTAACAGGATAATCTTTCATCATCTTACTACAGATAATTCACACGACATTGAGATATCCTTGCTCAGTATAGGCACAAAAATCAAGCTAGTGATAATATGAATCATAGTGTCAGTACAGAATAAATGGGATTCAATACATTTCCAATAAAATCAATGATGCTGTTAGTCAGTTATTGGTTGTCTACAGTATTGGAAATTGACAGCGTGATCAAACACAACAAGAACACTTAAATCTATCCGCCATACATATAGTTAAACATGGGAAAATATTTGTTTTCAAAGAAAAGTAAATAACGACACACGACAAATTATAAAACATAAACTTATAGGAAATTACCTTTTTAGATGGTGATCTACTAGCTTTATCTGGTGAAGTTAAATTATTTTCCGCATTGTTTGAGTTTTCATCTGTTACATTTTCGATTTTCTGCAAACTGTGATTCGTTTCGGAGCTACTGTAGATTAAATAGAGGACAAAATGATGAGTATGAAATATACCGCCAGTTAATATTACATGATAATTATGCAATGCCCATTTAACTGACAAAGCAATGTTTAAGCGCATTGCAAGATAATTCATGTTGAAGTTTAGAAATATACACAAATGCCTCACATGCAAACGAATACATGTTACACGGTCACCTTTCCGTTGCAACTAACTGATTCTGCATTTATGAATTTTTTCAAGAAGATATTTAGTAATGACACGGGATAAAGTTGAAAGATAAAAATGAAACTCATTACACGGCATCTAGGGATAAAAAGGATGTCACCATATAGGTCTGCTAATGAAAGGGAGATCTCAGTGAGAAGCGTTTCGCTCTCTTCTACTTTATGGCTTTGAAGTATGGCTATTAAGAATCCGGTAGATAGGTGTACACCATTTGGTTCAGAATTGGGAAGCTATCGTAACTGTTTGTTGGAGGCACTGGGTGACAGGGCTCAGGACCAGTCACAGTGACGTAGATGCTGCCATCTTTTTGTTGCATTTCAGATTCTACGTGTCAAAACACTATTACACTCCTTTTTCTTTCCATATCTAATCTCTTACACTACTCTGAGACCTGGTTTGATAACTGAATATCACTATACCAATGAAGTACAGTAAATTACCCGATGAACATATATCAAATGTCCAAGATTGTATATGGTTGACCGATTAGATCATGTCTAAAAATCTACGGTTTACACAACTTATGTTCTTGATTATTTACGGGTTGTAAAAAGGTTTTGCAGTACTGCATAACACATTTGAGCAACAAAAAAATTATAAAAGAAATATCTACAACGTCTACAAACTAATAAATGCTTTCAAATGATCTATTTATACATTACTAAAAGTCGACAAGTTAAACATTTGAAAAATGTAATAATTTTTGTCACTAATAAACAGAATAAACAAAAAAATTCCTATTTGATAACGAAAACTGAACTCTTTACAGGAAAAAAAAACAGACCTGTTAGTTTTGATAAAACATTGTTCAATCATCCCATTTAATGGTGAGTTTTCGTTTGTACATGCAGAATTCTCACCGTTCTTTTTCGTTTGTTCACAGCACAATGTACGAATTTGATGGAGATATGTCATCATACTGAGTAGATCAGGTGAACGACTTTTAGAAACTACTTCGCTTGGATCAAGTACACGAGGTACTCCCAACTTAGAAGCCACATCAAATGCCAGTCGACAATTTTGCAGAGGGTCTTCCGAAGACAATGAGTCGTAATCACTAGTAAAGTATTTTCAAAACAAAATAATTATTGGTTACAGTTAAATAAATAAAATACGTGGAAGCATTGTGCAACCATTCGGATGAAAGTATTTGATACTTATTTTGAAGCTGAACTGATTGACGATATTTTATTTCTATTTTATATATTTAGTGTGGAAATAATGAACACGAATTCGCGATAAAAAGAAAACTAATCAGGCTATTGAAAGAAAAACTACACAGTGAATAATGTAAATGAACAAGAATACATGAAACCAACCGGAATTTGACATTCTACATTATAATAAGGATGTATTGCGTATATGAATGACAGAGAAATTGATACATTTTCAAAATATCTTCTTGTAGATTGTGAGCTACACCTGTGATATGTGAGCTAAATAGTGAACAAGAGTTGAATTGAAAGAGTGAATATATTGGAAGAAATAATGATTCACTGAAGCATGAGTTTAAATGAATTACCTGAAGAAATTAAAAATAATAACAATATACTGAAACATACATTCAGAAACTACGTAACAATAACCAACTATGAAGTTACTAGGACCTATAATAAAGTAATAATTAATAAAAGTTATTTTCAGCTAACTAGATCATGTCTACCGATCTAAAAATTCGTTTTTATTAAAGAACCTAGGAATAATAAGCTCGATTCCGTGAAGATTATTATTCAAGAATATAGAAATTGATTTAAAAAATTTGTTCAGTTAGCATGTACATTGATGAATGTGAGAAAAATGTTTGACATTTTACAATAAATTCCCGATTCATTAACCTGAAAAATTTACTGGTTAGTAAAAGTAAAAAAAAAAGGTAAACTTACATTCGGTCGGGAAAAAAGTAATGCAGGATGGCACAAAAAGCCAGTCCATTCTGGAATGATGAAGTGAGATCAATTATTTGTACATTTTCATAAGATTTAGTCACCGATTGACACCATAAAAGTAAATCAGATTGACTTTGAGTTGAAATAGGCTTGAATCTGATGCAAAATATGCAAACAATTGTACAACAAATACATTAATACACAATCTGACTTAGGAACGGACATGTTTTGTAATTAAGCTTAAGAATCTTTAATTCACATTTCAGTTGCATTCAATCATTTTAAAGACTGAATATTGTCAAGTTTAGTACATTAATATTAACATCCAAGATATATATCACTGCACTTTAAATTTAGCGCAAATACACAGGGCCTACTTGACTACCGAATAATATAGACAAATACTCGTGTATTTACATGTCTTCACTTTCTTAAAAAAGAAAGCTAATTTCTAACCAGTTAAGACTTTTCCAACGGCCAGCTCGTTGGGTCCCTTTTGATCGGCTCTGTATAACACTTAGTATGCAGAAAAACCATACGTGAAGGTAGTTGAGCTTTTAAACTACTGAACCTGTATAGACATGGTTTCAGACGCATTTTTCACACTTAAATAACTGCCATTTATTTTTATATAATAAAATGGTAAGACATACCCCTAACACCATAACAGAAATTAAATTGTATACATTAAAAACTAATTTATGAGATTTATGGAGGCAAAAAAACAATGGAACGTAACTACTAGATGCTATCCTAGTCAATCAATCGTTTTAAAGGTTAAGTATACGAATATAATGGTCTGGAAACGTAAAATGTGGAGTAACTCATTAATAGTGGTCTGTGCAGAAATCTACAGTCAACTGACACATTATTTGAAGTTTTTGGCATTTGAAGACAGTAAAAACAAACCAAGTAAAGAGATTTTTTCTAAGATTCTAACTATGAGTGCCACAACAGTTTACCCATTCATTAATAAAAGACATTTCATTTGTTCTCAAAAATCTCAGTAAACCACAATGTTTACAATCTGTTTATTTAAAATCAAAATTTCATTAGAATCAACTCTCAAAGTATCAAAATTTCCCCATCAGTTAATTTTAGAAATAAAATTTCAACATTTAATAATGATGAAAATTACCAAGTCAGGTCGACTTTCATAATTAATTAATGCATTTTAAGAAGTTAACAATATACGTTTGTTCTCACAATAAGATGACTAATAAATTGGCTGGTATCGTAAACACTTTAAAATGTAACTTGCTTGTTTAAAAAAACTAAAGTCTACATTGATAAATGTTGATGATTTGAATTATATTAACTTGTGACTGCAAAAAGAATAATAGAAATCACTTCTTACTCTGAAGATTGAGGAAGTGTTTTACCAGAAGAGGGAATTAATGGTTTTGCCAAAACATCACCACACGCGGGTGGGAGTGAATCTTTGAAAAATATAAACAGTAATAAATACGATAAAGAAAACTTTCCCAAAAAAGATAAAGGGTAACAAATTCGCTATATGATATGACACATTGTAATTTTACTATAAAATAAGCTTGCGAAGTCATTGCGTTTACGGCAATATATCACAATCGAATTAACGACAAAAAGTGATAGTGAATTTTACCGAAAGCGATTTATGTTACAAACATCATGTGAACCAGTGAAACATACGTAGAAGGAGTCAATACAAATTACTATTTGATCTCATGCGTACTAATCTCCAATATGAAATTCTTAATAATTCTGAATTGCTGATCGGTGGAAAATGGAAACAACTCCGCATGTAAGCCCTATGCGGCTACTGCTCTTATGATAACCAGAGTCAGGAAGTGAATTCGACTCTCATACTCAAAAGAACACATGAGACCGAACTGGTCACAAACAAATTCTTCTTATAGCCCTTAACATCACTCTTATCTGCACGACTAACCCTTCTCACATTCCTTTATCACCCCGCACCGCTAATGCAAAAGATCCAAGTACACGAAACGTTATTCATGGTCTCCTCAAACCCCGTACTAAATTTTATATTGGAGTGTTCGAACCTTGTGCCAAATAGGTAAACAGGCTTCATTAGCTAGAAATCTGGAATCCCGTGCGGTTGATGTGTGTTGCATCTTCGAAACACTCATACAAGATCCGAGTGAAATCATCAATTTGATTTCACCTTCTACAGATAGAGAAACAACACGCTTTACGCTTCGTGTATCTTGAAGCCCTGTTGTTGCTTCCCGTGGCCTAGCTTGTGTAGGTATAGCATTGAGTCCTAGGGAAGAACTAGCTGTCTTAGACTGGATCCCAGTAGATAGTCGTTTGTGCACTTTCCGACTAAACGAAATAATAAGGACTCGCATAGATAGGGACACATTAACCTTATACAAGCTCTCTATTCAAACATTACTGGTCGAGTGAGAGCCTATGGCGAAATATGATCGGGATTCATTACTCCAAGTGGTGTTAGTCAGGGATGTTCACTTTCTCCATTCTTGTTTAACTTTGTTGTAGAGAAGCTTGTAGAGTTAACATTATCTTCGTCTGACTTTTCACGGTTGGAGAAGACAGTGACAACTGGACTGAGCCATGTTATTAGATGTAGACTACCTGGCTGGAGTCCGTGTGCCAATCATAACCAGTCATAAAAGACTAAGTGACACGGATGAAAATCGTTTTCAATGGCGCAGATGCTTCCTCCCATCCGACACGAAGTTTCTAAATTGCACATGACTTTCTTTTCTCTTTCAAAATTTATTTAACTGGATTATACTTCTTGAATATCTCCGAACCCTAGTCTTCTCCATTACTTTAATACTATTACTACCTGTACTACTATGCGATTTGAATTAAAAATTCGGTCTCTGTGTGCTGGCTACTGTGACATGGCAACTTGAACTGATGTACACACGTACGAAGTTCTAACTTGTAGCTAACTGACTGACTGAGGGGATCTGTTATTATTCTTACTTTTTGTAAAAACAGTATTGAAGATTCAGTGGGGATTTTAGGCAACATGACTCAGAATCAAATGCAATAAAAATGTACATTCACTCTTTATCCTCTATTAAAGCCCGGAAACTTTCGTTATCCTTTATTCACTTTATTTTGTTGAACCAATCTTTCATGTTTCTTTTAATATCTTGAAACTTCTTACGCTATAATGAAATGTGATATATATACAACGTCGGGGGGAGAGGAAAACACGATAACAGTTAGCTGAGTTACAGCTTCCTAATTACCTGACATGATTACAACAAGTTTAAATACCGAACCAAAGCTGTTTATCTTATAAATTCTGATATTATTCTTTTGGATACCTGAGGACTACAGATCGAATTCATGCTAAACAACTTCAACTACTAATAGAATAAAAGCAATTTAGCTAGAATATGAAAAGAGAATAACTATTTGTACATGTTACCTTGGTTTTGTGATCTATTTAGACTTGTTTTAGAGTTATCTAATTCTGAAGTATGATCTGAAACATTTCCGTTTGCTTTTATAGGAGATTCGACAAAAGAATCTATTTGACGTCGTTCCAGAGCTTGTAGTTTAGCGGTTAATTCACTGAGATCAGTATGAAAACTACTATTTGAGAAGGAATGTGAATTTAAATCATCTTTGTCAGCAAGCCTCGGTATTGTTGGTGAGAATGCTGCAACACCACCTAAATCATTAATAGTTACTCCACTGCCGACATTGAAACTCCCAGTACGACTTAATGACATGAGTGATGCTACAGAAATCATATCTTCATCACTAAAAAAGGATTAAGTGAAAGCATCAGCAGACATAAATAGAAAAATGCTTTTACATTCAGATGAATTTTATAATCATTAATAAAATCTATTGAGGGAAGAAAGTTGCAATTTTAAATGAATTAGGAATACATACCATCAAAAGTTCATAACAATCAAAGAAAATACCAAAAATGTGGCAAAATATATCTGATGGGATAAACTGAAAGGCTCCCTTATTCAACGAAAGATTCTACCCAGAACTTCAAATCTTACAACTGTGATTTCACACTACATTAGTAGATTTAATTACAATGAATGGTTTTTGCAACAATAATCTGTGATAAAGGGCAAGTTGTTAATACTGTTATGGAAAAAGAAACATAATAACAATCTTCTAAGGCCTATGATAAGTGTGAAGTACAGGTTTATGTATAAGAAACTTGCTTTGAAGCCTGAATGTTTTTATTTAAGCCAAGGATAGTGTGAACAAGATGTGAGACTTCTTTACAATCTCGAAAGTTCATCACCTGATACTAACTTGAAATGAAAATAACAATCAAAGAATAACGATTCGCTTTTATTTGAATAATATCCCACATATGATAAAAAGGATGTGGACTATCCAAGTGTAAAATGCGACCTAAAAGTCAAGAAACATCACTGATGTCAGGGTGTTGTAGAGAATGTTGAATGTCACAGTTTACATAGAATAATCTTAAACAACCACTAGAATCCAAGAAGAACTGAACTGAGACCTAAAAATCCTCGGTTAGGTTGTGGATGAGCACACCTAGGGAGTCTCACACCAGAACGAGATAGTTGTTTAATGATTCCTGGTTTTTAAAGATTGTTCAAGATTAATCCGTGATGTAAATTATTTTTAATGAACTTGACGAAATGAAACTATCTGATCGATACATTTGAATTCAAATCTGAAACCAGCCTGGTTTCTGCGAGTTCCTTGTTCATGAGCCTTAGTTAAACATTCAATGATAATGAATGCTAATATTTTCAACACTTTACTGATCACACAGATTACTGTACTGTACTTACAAGAGGATTTTGGTCCATTTTCACACACAGTTCATAGAAACTTCTGTATTTCAAATGGCAGCAGGTATGAAAGTCATACTTAATGCAGCCTGTAGTTTTTGTGAAGCTTGGGATAAAATTTCGTAAGCTTTAATTGACAACACTAATGGTCGATGATGAATGATAGTAAAGAAAAAGTAAATATTAACAAGTGAAAAAGGGATTTAAGTGTGAATAAGGAAAGCTCCTAAAATTGTAGAAGTATATTTACCAGAAAACAATAAAACCAATGATAGGTTTGACGACCTGGGAGAATGATAGCATCACACAAAGGTTTTATCGACGATATCGGAAATCTGTGGGACAAGGCTAAAAATGGTTTCTATATCCAACCATTCCTAACTCGGAACATTTGTTATGGCAAGGCGGCATAGTTGGAGAGAAAAGCAATCTCTGGAAAACAACCTGTTGCACTCACAACCCATCATAGTTAGAAGTACAACCTCGCCATCGGACCTTAGATTTCCTCCTACAGTTCGACTACAATTCGATCAACGAGCATGATTTGATAATCACAAAGGACCTATGTTTCAGCCAATCAAGGTTGATCAGGTCTTCCAGACCAACATATTAAGATAACAGTTACGAGCTGAGAAAACCAGCGAATAATTTAAAGAATGCTGGTTCGAACATACGTACACCTACTAAATATATTTTATATGGATACCAATACTCGACCCATAAATTAGAGAAAACTGCCAAATAAATATGGTCTGTTTGGTTATTATTTATTTTACATTAACAGTAAACAAGAATGTATACAACAATATATTATCAAAAGTGAATGACAATGTCGTAGTCACTTTATCTAGCTACGTACTACGCATAAAATTGATGAAGAGGGGTGGATATGATAAAATCGTTTCCATATCACAAATTTCTGTGGTCGATTGTTCTTAATTTTTTAAGTAAACACATATGCACAACAAAAAATTAATGGCTGAAATACATGAAAATGTATACGTATTATACTAGTAGGGAAAATAAACATGATGTCGCTGACATTTTATATTCGTAACCGTGTGAAATCACGATACATAACGATTAAAATAATCAATGTGTCTAAACTTGATTCCTGTATGAAATTAGATTCCCGTTTGATTCGATTCAGGGAAATCGCCCGTTGATGTAGGCGACGGTTGAGGATACATAACACGTCCTAATCACCTCAGCTTATCTACATTTACTGCGTTATCAGTCGATTCGTCATCCTTATCCAATAACCTATTCCTAATACAGATATTGCTTACTTAGTGGTCCCGAAATACAAGAGCAATTTTTTTAATACAAGTAACGTACGGATTTCCTATACTCTTGAGGCTTATGTTTCATACCCACAAAGTACAACGGAGTGAACTGCCGTACGATGAGTATATCCTTTAGTTAGCTGGCGGATATCTCGCTCATGCCATAAGTGACACAAGGTGGCAAAAACCAATCGAGCATTCTGTAGCCATGCTGAAATTTCGAAAGATAACAAACCATCAGGACTGCTGAGACTCAATAAGACGCAGATAGATGCGTGCTCATACTGTAGCTTGAGCTGATTTCGAACATGTGTTCCAGAATGAGCAGCAGTCTTCTGCGAAATATCGTTTAACGGAGATCATCGTTGAGTTAGTTGTGGAGGTCGTCATGTCAAACGTTGTTTTTCCTTATGTTTACTGTTGGTGCTTGCTACTAATAAACGCTTATCTAAGTTTAGTTGAACAGCCTCTCTGAGTTCTTACTGTTCCGTTTAGTCGGACAAGTAACTGTCTACTGGGATTCAGTCTAAGAAACCCGGTTCCGCTTTTGATTCTAATGGCATAGTAGGAGCCAAACGAACAACTTAATTGAGTCATCAGAACAGACAAGCCCGACCACTACGTCAGGATAGCAGCTACAGTCAGAACGAATACTCACATTTTAGCTAAATTAAAACCTTGAACAATGGACACCTATATGACTTCACACATCTAATGTATTAAATCAAGTCGGGGTAAAAATAAAGACCTTTCAAAGTTTAGCGATTCTAAACCGTCCAAATCAGTTATATATTTTGAGAATTCTTTAGTGGATTTATTACTACTTTTAATCATAATGCCAGCTTGTCATTAGCATCTAATGGTTTATACTTTGAAATTCAATTAATTTGCGATCAGCAGTATAAATTTCAAGTGATAGCCCCAACTCACGCGCACAGCTGAAGGGTACTGTGCTAGTACGAGACAGTCGCTAAATGCTATTCGGTTTTTAAAGGTTGCTTAACTAGGATCGATCCGCAATGTTAACTAAGAAATACTATTCAATCATTAGGGAAATTTTAAACTTTATTTGATAATCATCTCATTAAGGTGTAAGGTATTACATCCCATCATACTATCGTACGTGGAAAACGATATTTCACAATGCATTAATACAGCTGAATGTTTAGATAGTCTTGAGCACACATTTTTCATACTCTGGAAACATTAACAACCACGCTACAGCTTCGAAAAGCAGTGACTCAAGTAATTTAATAACAAATTTCAGTAAAATCAAGTCCAAATTATTTACCAAATTGTAAATGAAATAAAAATAAAATTCAAATTAAATTCCCAAAAACAACTAACGTGGCTTCTCCTGCTTTAACAATAACTGAATTTAACGTAAGTAGAACAGTAGCAGATATTAACTTTTTAGAGGCAAGACGCATGACTACTTTGAGATTAGTTTGAACGGGTAAATCTGAAGTGAATTCGGCTAGATCAATTTGTCTGGCAGCGAGTACACGTCGTCTAGTCGATGGTGTAGATCCTGAAAATAAACCTGCACTTTTAGATCCAACCTGAAAATGAAGTCAAAATAAAGCATAAATGTATGTCTAATACATTGTTACATCATCTAGAAACTGACACCGATTACGAACAGCTACTAGTTTTAAACACAATAAATAAATTCGAAAAATTTTTGTTACCTTAACATGCATCACCCGAAAAAAAATTAATGAAAAGCGATGCTCGTCCACACTTTCTAAACTTGTTTTTAATTTGAAATTAAATGATAGGGTGTCTTCTTATTTTGACTATTAGGAAAAACAAGGTCTCTATTCGGTAGCCTGCCAATGAATATATGTTAAAAGTTTACCGGCAAGCTGCAAAAAGTTGATCACATTTAAAATAAACGCTAAAACCAGGATGATTTGATTTGTCACAAATAAGCATAATAAATATGTATTGTGATGAACAGATTTTATTGATCCTATCAATGTTTTGAAATGTCCGAATCACATGCTGACAAAGTTAATCCGAAAAGTGAAAGACTCAAAGTTAGTAGAATAACAGCTATTTAAATTAAATATTTGACTTTCATCTATAAATTGAACAATGCACATGTTGGTATTAGCACACGGATTCTATCACATGGTGAACAAGGCTGGGTAAGGCAAAGGTGAACGAAAATGATCACTTTCCTCGTTAAGTTAGATATAATATGTAAGACTGTCAATGAGGAAGAATAAGAAACTTTTTAGATTTTATCTGTACAGTTGATAACCATCTCCTGTTCCAGATATTTCTAAACATTTGCAAGGGCTATATTAACAACGAATGCAGTTCCATATATTATGCAGCTGATAAATCAAGATGAATATGTTAAATCGAATCAGTTGGAAAGAGTATAAATGGTGTACATTTCACAAAATATATAGCTGCTACAAAGTGATCGTACACAAGAAAACATGCAGGTAGAAACAGTCATTAAAAATCATCCTATATTTTTTTATTCACTCAACTAGAAACCCAAAGTTAAAGATTAAAATAATGATAAATTTGTAATCTTCCAATACATAGAAAAATGTATAGTACCATCAAAATTACAAGTTTCACTCCTTGGATTTATTCATAAAACAAGGTATCAATGTTATGGATAACCAAATCAACTATCAGCTCGATGAAATCGGACTAAAATGATTATCGCATTATCATACTACACATTTCATTACATATTCATACGAATATTAAATTTATGATGCATCTGTTGGTTAACAGTGTATCACTTTATATAGTCAATGGATTCGATAAATAATTACGTTTATATAAATAATAAACCATGATTTAGAACTGACAATCTATCGAAGAATCACCATAACGTAGTAAGAATGTATAAAAAAAACCTCTTGTTTGGTCAAAAAATTGGTTCACTAAAATTAAATTGTGACTGCTGTGAGGGAGATATTTTATTACACAGGGTTGATTGTCATTCAACTAGCTATAAGATGATTACGAGCAAAATTTTAAATTGCATAAATGTAAGTGATTTTATGATTAGTAAGACCATAAACTCGAATTTACGAATTTCAACAATAGTTTTTATGAGTTATATTTTGTCTCATGGTTAAGTGTATACCCAGCTTATAACAGATGACTGAAGCTGACTTCGACTCAGAAAGACAAAATATATGCATTTATAACATTTTTAACTGTCAACTTTATGCAACCGAATCTAATATCTCAATGAATTTAAACATGTTAGGTTCTGAGTAAGTAAATGTTATTGGAATCACGACGTTGTTTCTTTAAAGAATATCATAGTTAACTGTTATTTTTATATGTATCTATAAAATACGAGGAAATCAAACACTTGTTTAGACGAACAAATAATACACAACTTGAAACGAAATTGTGATTTGTGCAGCTTAATGCCGTGCCAAAAAAACATTATACTATGAAATAAATTCTTCAAATAATAATAATAATAATAAGCACTACTTACATCTTCAATTTGACATATCCATTCTTTTTCTTCAAATTGAATTGCTTTTTCATTTCGATATAAAGTAGTAACGAATTCTACATTCTCCGGCATAGACCATACATATTTAAATGAATTTGAATTGTCGGAACTTTTAACCGGTTCAAAGGACTGAGAAAGATAGGAGAAAAATGTTGTAAGAAGTGGTGGTGAAAGATAAAGCACAGTACGCAAACAAGAATGATATTGTCAACTGATTTTAATCGTAAATAATAAAATCTAATATAATTTTGAAAACTCCGAAAGGAACCCTAAAGGTGTTACTGACAGTCCCATGCCCGGATAAAAGAGGAAAGTTAAACATAAGGTTAGCAACTCCATCCCGTAGAAAACCAACTTACTAAAAAACGCTAACCAGAAGAAATAATCCAACCCATTTTAACTCTGCCCTGGGATTTAAAACGTTGCCATTCAGAAGAGTTATGACGTCTCATGATGAAAGACGAGTCAGAAGGCCGATACCCCTTCTGACAACCACAGAAACCATTAATTTAGGTACACAGAATGTTTATACGTTGTGGGAGACTGGGAGAGTCATCTAAGTTGATACAGAAACGAAAAGATACAACCTGGTGGTACTTGGAGTTAGTGAAACACATTGAACACAGGCTGGACAAAAAAGATTAGCTTCAGAAAAGATGCTGTTATACTCCAGTCATGAACAAGAAAATGCCTCACACACTCAAGCAGTTACATTGATATTGTCCAAACAAGCACTAAGACACTGATAGAATCGGAATCTCATCGGCCCACGATCATCAAAGCATCCTTCAAAACAAATAGAGAGCATTACAATGAACGTCATCCAATCCTATGCACCTACCAACGACTACAATGAAGACGTTAAAGATCATTTCTACGAGAGGCTGCAGTCAATCTCCGAGAGATGCCCATCAAAGAATTTGTTTTTTCTGATGGTAGACCTCAACGCCAAGGTTGGAATCGAGAACATCAGATATGGAAACATGATGGGACGACAAGGACTAGGAGAAAAGGACGAAAAAGGTGAGAGATTCGCAAACCTATGTGCGTTCAACAAAATGTTTATAGGCAGCTACATAGGTTTCACCGGATCACACAATGCAGAACTAAACCGGTCACATCAGCAACAACAGAAAGTTCAGAAGAACCAAGGAAGACTTATGAACCAAGAGGGGGCCTGACAAAGATTCATTACATGGTGGTGGGCAAGGTGAAATTGGATTTCAAGAAGCACTGAACAACGAAGCGAACATCATCACAAAATTTAAATACTTTCCTTCTCTCGGATACTGACAATCTCAACGAATTCAAGATAGCTCTCAACGATAAGTTTCAAGCTTTTTACGACCTATCAAGTGAAGAGGAAACTACCGTGAAGGACAATCGGAAGAGGATCAAACAAGCAATAACTTCAGCATATCATGAAACTTGGGATCACAAGAGCCACCACGAAAAAGAATGGATTGCTGTTAATACTATGTATAAGATTTAAGAAAGGAGGAACAAATTGGTGGCGATCGATAACAGCCAAACAAGAGCCGAGAAAGCCAAGACACAGGCCGAATACGCAGAGGCAATCAACCAGATGAAGAGGAGGATTAAAGGTCATAAACGCAAATATGAGGAATATCTAGTAATCATAGCAGAAAAAGCTGCAAGAGAAGGAAACATGAGACAGCGATATGATACAACGAAGAAGCTCATTGAAAATTATAGTAAACCAGAACGACCAGTCAAGAACAAGGAAGGCACAGCAATCACCGACATTGAAGAACAGTGAAACAAGTGAATACAGCACTTCGAAGAACTCTTGAATAGGCCAGACCCACTGAATTCGCTCGACATCGAAGCAACACCCAAGGACCTCGCAACGGATGTTGACCCACAAACAACTGAAGGAATTAGCATGGCCATTAGAAAAATCAAGAGCGATAGAGCAGCAGGCTAGACAACACACCAGTTTTAGGCACTAAAGTTAGACGTAGAAGTGACTTCAAAAATATTACACATTTTTCCTCAACAAGATTTTGGAGGGAAAACAAGTACCAAGAGACTGAAAAGAAGGATATCTGATCAAGATACCAAAGAAGAGAGATCCCCTCAAGTGTGAGAAGCATTGGAAGAATTAAGAACCTTTACATATATGGGCAGCATTGCTGACGAGTAAGGTGAATTCTGATGCAGATGTGGAGGCGCGGACCTGCAAAGCAAGAGCAGCATTTCTACAACTGAAGAACATCTGGAAGTCAAAACAACCTTCAACCAACACTAAAGTCAGAACTTTGAATACAAATGTCCAGACAGTTCTACTGTATGAGGCGGAAACTTGAAGAACCATGAAAGACATCATCCAGAAGATACAGGTGTTCATTAACAGATGCCTACGCAAAATACTACTCATCCGTTGACCATATGGTATTAGTAACAACAACAGGATTTCAGCTGAGGAAGAAATTAAGAACAAGCGCTGGGGGTGGGTAAGAAACAACTAATTTACAAGGCAAGCCCTCACTTGGAGCCCTCAAGGCCAAACAAGAAGAGGTAGACCAGTGAATACACTTCGCCTGGAATCGGAGGCCGACATGGAAAGAATGAACAGCAATTGGATACAACTGGAAAGGAAGGCCTAAGACAGAGTTGGATGAAGAATGTTGGTCGTGCGTCTATACTTCATCAGGGGTAGTAGGTGTATGTAAGAAAATACAACAATTAAAACTAGTTAATAATGAAAATATGATTTACTTTAGAAGAATATCGGCGACTGCGACGAGACCAAACAACTACTAAACTTCCGGGACTGTACTGACGTGAGCACTCAATATTCAGCTCATGCAAAGAAGCAGTAATCTGAAATTTCGCTGCTTTTTTTCCAACCCTTTGAAGTCTGCGCCAAACACTCATTTGTTACTGGATATTATCTATTATCTGAAACTACATGAAGAATCTATTTAGTTTCATGAAAAAATAAAATGAAAATACAGCTCATTAACTAAGTACAACCTCCTGCCCTGGGCTAACCAAAACAAAGCTGACAAACGGGTGTTTGAATCTCTCGTCGAGCGTTCGATGGTCATGTAGTTTCCCCAAAAAAACCCTTCCATGGTGTGAGCAGTCCGGAAGTGACATCCGCCCCCATACCCGTAACAACACACCAGACCAAACCGGGCTCAGTAAAATCCTTCTCACACCTCTTAATAACAGTCTTACCTCTATAACCAAACCTTTCATTCCTTAGCTACTTCGAGCCATTAAAACGGACGTTCCAAATTCGCGAAAGGTTATTCCTGGACTCCTGAAACCCCGCTCTGAGCTACATGTTAGAGCTTTTATTGTTCAGATCTTGTGATAAATAAGAATACAAGCTTCCTTAGCTACGATTCTAGAATCTAGAGCCATCAATGTATGCTGTATCTCCGTAACGGTCATACAGGACCCGAGTGAAATCATACATCTCACTTCACCTTGTCCAGATAAAAAACCATCTAGGTTTACGTTCCACGTTTCTTGAAGCCCTGTTGTTGCTTGCCGTTGCCTCGCTTGTGTAGGTATAGCATTGGGTCCAAAGGAAGAACTAGCTTTCTTAAACTCGATCCCAGTAGATAGTCGTTTGTGCGCTGTCCGACTAAACGGGACAATAAGGACTCGCATAGATAGGGAAACTAGCCATTGCCTCTTCGTCGTCTCTTTCTAAGCCCTCACTGACTGCAACTCAGCTGAGTTAAGAAATGAGTTTTACGGAAAGCTCCCCAACCTCCCTCAAAAAATGAGCGCTCTGGTGCAGTAACAGTGCCTAGCGACTTCACTGCTCAAGCAGATAGACAACACGAAAAGGAAACCTGTGCAGGTCTTATGGTGTCGCAACTCAAAGGACAGTTACTGGCGACAGTCTGCTGCAACTATGATCAAATAACCGCCTATTTCTAGCAAATATTACGTTTAAGCACAAGGAAAAACATCTTTTTACATGGCGACCCCGAAAGTCGTCACAACGCTGGAACCAACTAGATCACATCGCTATATCAGCCACCGATCAATAGGTTCGATAGGAGACTCTCGCTCGTTCTAGGTCTTTATGAAGTTGAAAAAGCTAAAAGAAACCTGAAGCAAGTAAGAGCAACAGAGCCTGACAGGCTAACTCCTGAGAGTTTTAAGGATGGTGGTCCAGAGTTAGCGGTTAGTTTGATTGAGATCTTAGGTAGAATCTAGCATCTGAACGTAATCCGATTCGACAGGTCTCAATCACTGATTGTCCCAGTTTTCAAAAAAGGGGAAAAATCATGTTGTGACAAAAACACATAGGAATCAGTTTAACTAACATATTATCTAAAATATTGACCTCAATAATACTCCGACACCTAACTGGAGCTTGTAAAGAGCATACTCGAGAAAATCATGCTGTTTTTCGATCTGGACGTGGCTATGTAGACTAGACACTAAGTCGTGTCTTATAACATAGACGCACGTTCGCACGTCCGACAATAATGGTATTTCTTGACTTCAAAGCTGCATTGAACATGACGTTCTGTGACAGTGTGTCATTGAAAGGTGTACCAAATAAGCACATTAACCTTATACAAGTACTCTATTGCAATACCACTGGTCGAGTGAAAGCTTATGGCGAACTGTCACCCAAATTCTCTACATCAAGTGGTGTCCGTCAGGGATGTCTACTCTCTTCATTCTTGTTTAATTTTATCATAGACATGCTCCTATATATATCCTTATCTTCGTCTAAATTTTCAGGAGTAGACCTTCTACCAGGTGGCTCGCTTATTGACTTAGAATATGCCGATGACATTGTCCTACTTGGTGAAGATGCTGACAAAATGTAGAGTCTTCTGACTACCCTAAGCAACAATGCGAGCATGTTCGGGATGCGGTTTTCCCCCTCGAAATGCAAAATGTTGCTTCAAGACTGGGTCGCATCGGCACCTGAACTAGTGATAGAGAGTGAAGTAGTCGAGCGTGTTGACCGCTTCACTTATCTGGGGAGTCTCATCAGTGCCGATGGCCTGGTGACTGACGAAATCTCGGCACGGATACAGAAGGCTCGATTGGCTTTTGCCAACCTGCGTCACTTATGGCGTAGGCGTGATATCCGTTTTCTAATCAAAGTACGAGTGTACTGTGCAGTGGTTCGCTCCGTCTTACTTTATGGCTGTGAAACATGGCTAATGAGAGTAGAAGATACTCGTCGATTATTGGTTTTCGATCATAGATGTCTTCGAAGCATTGCTCGTATATCGTGGGACACCCGAGTGAGCAACGCTGTTATTAGGAAACGTGTTCAAAATGTGTTCATAATTCGTTAAAGGGATTTTCTTGAAGTGAATAATAATAGCACAGAATTGAACAGAAACTTTTAAATAATAAAGAAGCAAAAACATTATCAGTGTTATATTAAATCTCAAATCAGAAAATTTAAAGAGTGTATAAAAGTAAAGTTTCGACTAGTAAAAACATATTTCCTAATAAAGTTTTATTCACACGTGCCTGTATTCACAGCTCCGTCCTACTTTATGACTGTGAAACATGGCCAGTGAGAGTAGAAGATATTCGTAGGTTACTAGTTTTCGATCATATGTGCCCTCGAAGCGTTGCTCGAGTATCGTGGGACACCCGAGTAAGCAATTCTGTCATTAGGAAGCGAGTGCTAGGTAAAGGTTGTCAGATCAATAGATGAAGTAATGAAACTTCATCAGTTGAGGTGGTTGGGACATGTGTTACGAATGCCCAACCACTAACTGCCTCGACGAGCTTTGTTTTGTAGTGTAGGAGTAGGTTGGAAGAAAGTTAAGAGCGGCCAGACCAAAACATGGCAGAAATCCATGAAGTCATTGACTAGTGGACTGAGACATGTCGGTAGTTGTCGACTACCTAGTTGGGGTCCGCGAAATGATAATAATCGATAGTTAGATACCCTGGGTGACATGGCTCGTAACCGTTTGCAATGACGCCGGTGCATTTATTCTTTGTTTTCTCTCAAATCCTAATCTTCTGGATTCTTCAACACCTCTAGTTTTGACTTTCTAAACTTTTCTCACTGAATCATACTTCTTGAATAGTATCTTCTAATCCTAACCTCTCCGATTACTTCTAATTCCCTTACTACCTCTTCTACTATTGGATTTGAATTGACAATTACTTCTCTATGCTGATGTGGTATGTCAACATGAACTGATGTACTTATGTACAAAGTTCTACGTTGCATCTGACTGACTGACTGACAAATTCTAACCTTTTGAATTCCTCGTCATATCTATCTTTCTCTTTCTAAAGTTATCTCACTGAATTATACTTCTCGAATCATATCTTCGAACCCTAATCCTCACCATTACTGCTAATACTTCTACTACCGCTAGCACTATTGGATTTGAACTGACAGTTGCGCGTTTGTGCTAATGTGTTATGGCAAGACGAACTTATGTATGTACGAAGTTCAACGTTTTAAGTGACTAAGTGACTGAAGAAACAAAAATGGGACAAGTAATAGAACCAATCAATAAATGGATAATTGAATCATCTTAAAAAATATACTGTTCAGTTGGAAAAAAAACCAAAATAAAAGTCGTTTGGCTAACAAGGTTTCTCTTGCTTTTGTGTAATGGAAAAATATAACAGGATTGGTTTTTGGATCACATTCGATAACACTAAGTCAGAGGGTTGCACAATCTCTGGAATCCCAACAAAGCAGTCTGAATGAACTGGCAGATACTACTCTTACACAGCTATTTTACATACTATAACCTCAAGTTAAGACCTCAGCTTTTATCACCTAGTTCCAATGGGGTAAATAATGTACTAGCAAAATCCGTAGACCGAAATCGATATTTCAAGATAAGAAAACTGAATTACCACTGTCATATAAAAACGCATATTACCGAGCCTTGGTATTGCATAAGCCTACTGCAAGCAAAAGCTTGAAAGCAGGTAACAATTCATTAAAAGTTTCCGAGTTCGCTATATTTTTTGAACCTTTTGGTTCAAGTTTCTGACGAGCAATTGTTTGAATAGAGTCTTCAGTTTATGCGTGATCAACTAAGTATTTAGTTAATTCTTCCATGATTATGTACTTTACCTTTAGATTTAGAAGCTGAGACTTGAAGAATCGTTCCTTTGTGAATAAAAAATGTTTAGACATATCTACTAATACAACTCAGTCTACCTAACGAACAATACTAGCCCATTATTTTATCAACCACTAGACTTCGCCCATTGAGGTCCCGTATTCTTCAATAGTTTAGGTCGATAAACTTAGCCGTGCAGAGAGCAGGAGATGTAATGTCAATCACTCATCTACGTTGTCTATGTTCGGTGGACAACAGAGGAGTATATGGATAAAACTTGAACTACTCGAAATTTCTCGCGGATTTTTTCAATCCCTTCGTTCGGGATTAGGTTACTGGTAGATTCTTCTCCACAAAATTTGGGTTAACCAACTACATTACCTGCTCAGCAAACTTGATGCTTGGTCAACTGCCATCCTTCATAACACTTGCTGCTGTCGCTCAACAATAAGCATTATATTATCACCTTAGAACTGTTTATTATCCTTTTCTTGCACGTTTGTTTTATCCATTACAATGCGCAAAAACCTGAACGCGCAGTAAGTAACAGTCAGCGTATCAATAAGCTTCGACCCAAACGCCTTAGTACTGCTCAGGATGAGGAGTCCGCTCTCCCTAACGAAACGCTCACAAGGCGAAACGTGTCTAGTCACTAACAGGGGATTCTTACTAACTGCCTAGACGTGGCACAGGTATTTTTTACAAAAATAAGAGGACGAGAAACGACTATTCAAATCTAAAACCGGGTTGGTTAGTCAGTCAGTCAGTCAGTTGCAACGTAGAACTTCGTACGTAAGTACATCAGTTCATGTTGCCATCCCTCATTAGCGAGGA